TGTTGCTGCTATGGAATAATTTTTTCCTGTTTCTTCTCCGTTTTATTGTGGTTAGATCTTACCATGATGAAGGACTAGGGAGAATAAGTTTTAGATCAGTCTTCCTCATTCTTCGGTGGCAGAAAGAAGAAGAAGAAGAAGGAAGACACCAGAAAGAAGAAGTTTCTTAGCTCCGCTTGCATGAATGTTGGCCGTCGTTTATTGCATGAATGTTGGCCGTCACTCGTTGCATGAATGTTGAGTATTTGCCTATGCGGTCATCCATAGTGCAAAGCGTCGTACATGTTTGGTTTTGAGATCTGTAGCTTTTCACAGCGTGGGTACAATTTAGATGAAAATCAGTTTGTAGATATTTGCAGCGTAATCCAGAGTGCTTGTAACGTATTGATGTACCCAGCTATTATCTAATATCTAATATATAATTCTTCTTTTGTAGCAAAAAAAAAGTTCATCCTCTCTTGATTAGTTTTCTTGTATCATTGTATGTATTATCTTCATTTCTCTCAATATATATTATATTCATTGAATGCAGGGAATTATTAACAGGACTAGTATAGTGCCCGTGCGTTAGGATGAACATTAAAACAACCAAACGATGATTTATTTTTCATAGTTTAACTTTTATACAATTGTATTTGAGTATTATACAATCCGGGGAACACTTTTGCATAAGAAGGCATAATAAAGTTATTTCTCACATTAACCATCTAGTTTAAGATCTACCTAAATCCTTAAACATGTCTTGGAAATCTTCAGGGAAGCTATCAAAACATTCATTTGCACAGCTCTTCAAAATATTCGCCAAGAATTCCGTCATCAGTGAAGCTGATGGCAGATAATAAGTTAAGTTATTAATTTCCTATGTAGTGTACCGAATATACAGAGAATATATATGTTTACAGTGTTGATCAGTGGCAACTTACACTATCCCACGATGTCATGAAACGGTATACAAGGAAGCCTCCTAATTTCTTGGAGAAGAGCATGTGTTTTTTGTTGTACATAAATCAAATAACTATTTTATGATAAGAAAGATGAAACATATTATAAGTGATTATCAGTCTTTATTTTTTTGAACACATGTTGGGAATTCTCGTTTTCAGTAATAAATACTATTGTTCCATGCAGAATTTGTCATTTTCATGGCGAGACTGAATTTATATAAAAAAAAGGATTATCCAGTAAGAAGTATACCTGGTTTTACAAAGGCTGATAAACCAAAGTCAATGGCCTTAAGATTGGAGTTATCTTCTTTTGATGTAAGAAGAAAATTCTGAAAAAAGGGTATTACAATTTTTAGAAGTCATGATAAAGTAAACAATGAAAATGCTAGTATTAGAATATTAAGTAAGACATGCTTAGTTTACCAGTGCTATGGAACTGAAAGTAGAAAGTTAGCATTTTCTAAACCACCTTAAAACATGAAATTTGCACTGATTGTAGAGATGCAGAAAAACACATCACCTCTGGTTTGAGATCTCGATGAACCACTCCTTGAATGTGGCAAAAAGCGACGACATTTAGGGGCTGTTCGGCAGAACTGAAAAATAAGCCAAAATATTATTCCAGCTAATTGTTATGAGAAAAAAATACTGTTCTGTCTAAAATCATTGTACATGTGAACAGTATTTTCGTGTCTGCGCTGGCCAGCCCAGCCCCAGCTGGCCAGCCAGCCGAACACTCGCTTAATATTTGCACCAGGACAGCTTTTGCATCATCCTCAGAGCACTTCCCACCTCTTAAGGGCACGTGCAACGGGACCCTTTGAGCCGTCTACGTCTAGAAAATTTTGCAAAAACACCCCTCGCGAGCAGCAGACGGCACGGGGTCGTCGTCGTCTCGTGAGGCACCGGCTTCGGCCCGTGCTCCGAGGAATGAACTACGCACGAACGGATCTCGTGTGGGTGAGAGCGACGAACCAGTCCACGGAAGTGTTTGTTAGCTTCTTGTCCTTTTCCAAAGAATGCACAAATTTACTAAAAATTATAAAATATATATAATCAAATTTGAATCCAAAAATTATGATTCAAATTTTATTAGGTTCCTTCCGACTAGAACTACAACCAGAAGTGACTAGTATAGTGCCCGTGCTAACGCCACGGCTTCATTTCAGGAATGCACATGAAAAGTACAGGAAAACAATTACGAGAGATTTCAATTCATTGCATCATTTCCAGTATATTATAGAAACTTGTCCTGTACATTATAGTAGAGATAAAACACATGTCACACCTTGAAGGTTCTCTGTATATCTTATTTTGTGGAACTGTTTGTATTCTTTAAAAAGCTATTTTTTCAATACAAATCAAAAATTACGATAACCTACTCGTATTAGTATTACGACACTATGGGAAAAATATATTCATGATTGATTATGTTGCTGTAATTACTAGTAATTATATTCAACTTAATTATGCTTGATCTGTTTCGTATTAAGTAGCAATACACTGGTATACAAGGATCATATTCATGTTTAATCGTGGCAACATACAAGTATTAAACAATTTGTAGACGGTTAAATAGACAACCCATTGTACGAGCTGTCTATTTAACTCTCTGTGCGTAAGTTTTAAAAACTTACAGACAACAGGCTGTCTATGAGTTGGACACGCCCTGATAAGTCCAATGCAAAACATCACTTCTATCGAAGCACATATTTTGATGTGCTATTTCAAAATTTTATATTCACTTTAACTTACCTAGAAAGTATTCTGTCAAGTAGCTCTCCACCTTCACACAACTTACACAATAGGATTTTAAATTAATGAACATGAATCTTTAAAGAATAAAGCATGGATTGCATGTACTACTCCAGATCTTAATATCACTATTGGTCAAAAAAACCCCTTCACTGTCGGATTTTGAACCGGCAGTGGTATACCGACAGTGACGTGGGATTGACATCACTGCTGGTTCTTATGAACCGACGGTGATGTGAACCGACAGCGATGTGGTTTCTAGGAAAGCCTAAAAATTCATTGAAAAAATAGGGAAAAAATTTAGTATCGAGAGAGGCTTCATTGGACAGCCACACGGTCGCGCATCGCAAGTCACAAGTCAAGCGTTTTTTTTTCTCGAAAAATGCGTGCTTCGCGGCCACCGGCGCTCGAACCCCTGTTGTCCTGCTTCGCGTCTTCGGCCCCTAACCACTCCACCTGCAAGCTGTTTGTGTCCAAATGAGATTTCCGTCCTAGCCATTTTATTTTCATCTAATTTTGAAATGAGTATTTGGGAACCTAAACGAATTCAAATGAAAAAGTTGCCAACTACAAAGTTTTATAACTTATCGAGATCTATAACTTTCATTTTAGTAGTTTCTTCATCCGAGGTTGTTTACAAAATATAAATTTCAAATTTGAAAAATTCAAACGTAGTTTTCCATAACAAGATGATTTCAAATCAAAAAGTTATCAACTATAAAGTTTCATAACTTTTTAAGATCAACAAATTTTATATCTCTCTTATAGTTTTCAGATCCGAGGTCATTTAAAAAATTCAAATTTCAAAATTTTTAAAATTTAAACGTAGTTTTCCTTGAGAAGATGGTTTCAGATCAAAAAGTTGTCAACCACAAAGTTTCATAACTTTTTGGGATCTACAACTTTCATTTTGGTAGTTTCTCCATCCGAGGTCGTTTACAAAATTTAAATTCCAAATTTTAGAAATTCAAACGTAATTTTCCTTGACAAGATGATTTCAAATTAAAAAGTTGTCAACTACAGAGTTTCGTAACTTTCCGAGATCTACAACTTCTATTTTAATCATTTGATCATTTATTTATCCGATATAGTGGTAGTAACATTATTCAGAAATATTACATATCTCTCTTATCTTGATAAGTTCTACAACTTCTATGTTCATGATTTTTTCAGCTGAAATCATTTAGCGTTGCAAAATGACGTTTGAAGTTGCCATTTTTTGAAATTCAAAATTCAAATAAATAAAGCACAGTCACATGAAAAGATGAATAAAATAATAGAGGTAAGAACACAATAAATTGATAGATCATGATTTTAGAAATTTTTAGAAAAAAAATTATCAAATTTGAAGTTAGTATGAGGGAGAAAGACTAGTTGTAAGTTTTAGCCAGAGATTAAAAAGAGAAATCAGATTTATTCAACAATTTCAAATTTTAATTTCAAACAGTATTTTCAAGTAGTAAATGATCTCAAATGAAAAAGTTTTCAACTACAAAGTTGCATAACTTTTCGAGATCTACAACTTTTGTTTTGGACGTTTCTCCATTTGAGGCCGTTTGAAAAATTCAAATTTTAAATTTTAGAAATCAAACGTAATTTTTGTTAGATAGATTATTTCAAATGAAAATATTTGGACATCCAAATGATCTTAAATTAAAAAGTTTGAACTATAATTTGTAGATCTCGTCGAGTACTACAACTTTGATATAAAGTTCGTCTTCATCGGACATCATATGAGAAACTTATAAAGTTTTCTTTTAGCATATCACTGTTGGTTCAAGTCACGAATCGACAGTGATAGTATCAATGTCGGTTCTTGGCTAAAATCGGCAGTGATGACCTAATATCACTACCGGTTCTTAGCTAAAACCGAAAGTGATATGAACCGACAGTGAATACCCGAATATCAGTGTCGATTGGTCCTATCACCGTCGGTTTTAACCAAAAACCGACAGTGATGATCTATCACTGTCTATCACTGCCGGTTTTTTAAAATTCGGCAGTGATGAGACCAACAGTGATGTCTAATTCTGTAGTAGTGATGCTAAAAACAGACAAGGACTACCCAAGGACCATCATCAGCAGGGTATAAAAGGTAAATATAAATGAGAAGCAAATAGTTCATGGAGTGAACATGAAACTTTGGCAGCATGTAAATAATATGGAAGCTTTCACTCTTTCTAGAATATTACAACTAAGGTTTGGCAGGGAATTATTAACTGGATAATCTATCCCTGATCGAGTGAGTCGTCTAATCTGCATGCTAATAGATCTCAGTGAAGGATGGGTCAGGAAGGATCATCAGGACGCCGGCTGGGAGCAGTTGTTGGCGGCGCCGCAGCCGCAGGTCTTCGGAAGGAAGGCGCAGGTACCGAAGGGCTTGCCAGGGAGGTTGCAGTTGATGGCGTAGCAGCAGCTCGTGTCCACGCAGCTGCTCGCGTTGGACGGCGACAAGCAGCACCGGCACCTCCGGCACACCTCGAACGGTTCGTACGGCGCCGCTGCTTCTGTCATCGCCGCCGGTGATATGGACCGGTACACCACTCTCCGCACCGGCACGTACGACTCCTCGCCGCCGCCGGCTCCTCCTGCTTGTTTATTAATCAATTTGCTCAGGCCTCGATCAGGGGATTTAGAACTGATTTATATTTATATATAACTGGAACAGAAACATGATGGAACATGCATGCTTGCATGGGAATGGGATCGGATCGATTCGATCGATCGTGCGTACCTTGAGCTTGCAGCACCAAGGAGGAGAAGATGAGCAGGAGGCCGGCAGATAGCGCGGTGAAACCAGTGAGGGAGATCATCGTCATGGGGTCTGAAGGGCGTCGAGCCATGTCCTCTCCTCCCCCCTCCTAACGAATTTGCTTTGGTGGTAGGTTATGTATAATATACTACTATATAGTGGAAGGGAGAGGGACGACGACGAAGCTTCATTTATTAGCGTTTATTTATGCGTCGTTTCAGATTTTTAACGCAAGGTTTCTAACGTTAGCAATGAATGAGCGCACTTGTGTCTCAAATTATAAGACGTTTTGGCATTCTAAATTCATAGTATTTTCTATGTATCTAGACATAACATATATCTATATAAAATAATTTACATCAGCAAAAAAATAAATTAAAGTATTAAAATAATTTACAACAACAAATATATTAGGTTCAAACTAAAATATAAAAATATTAGAATTAATTTAATATCTATGTATCATTAATAGTATTAAAATAATATTAAAATTCCTATAGTATTAAAAGTTTTCTCTACTAAAAGTTACTTCTAATTTTAGTATTATTTTAAAAGTTTTAATAGTATTATTATACAAGTAACATTTCTCTGTTATTAATACTATAACATTATTATTAAAACTTTTAATACTATAATACTATTATTTAAAGTTCTAATACTATAATACTACTATTAAAAGTATTATAGTATTAATAATAAAAAAGTTACTTCTATAATATTACTATTAAAACTTTTAAAATAATACTAAAATTAGAAGTAACTTTTAATAGAGAAAACTTTTAATGCTATAGGTAACTTTTAATATTATTGCATTTGGACAGGGATGACATTGCTTACCAAGTTTAGGGACCTGCGGTGAATATCTTGAAAGTTCGGGGCCCGAGATGACACCGCCAGCCAAGTTTAGGAACCTGCGGTGATCACCTAAAAGTTTAGGGACCTGTATGACACCGTCTGCCAAGTTTAGGAACCCACAGATATCACTTTAGAAGTTCAGAGACCTGAATGACACCGATGGCCAAGTTCAGAGACCGACAGTGAATTTTGCTCTTTACACATCGAGTAGAAAGCCTAAAACACCAGCTCCCCAGCACTCCCCATTATCCGGCCCGTATCAAAATCATTCCGAAATCACTTCTCACATGCTTTTCACTATAATTTTACTTAAGAATCAAGAAACATAGCTCAAGAATCAGACAATAGAGCTCTGCTAAATCGACCTTTCACGTCCACGGACGTGTCTAGCCTACATTAAAAAGAAACACTTGGAGCTTCAATGGCCCCGTTCGCTTCGCTGAAAAAACAAGATAAAATATTGTTCTGGCTGATTTGTTGTGAGAGAAAAACATTATTCTGACTAAAAAAGAAGCTAAAAAGAAACGGATAAGTGCGCTTATTTTCGTTGTTTTATTCGGTAAGATTGGACATCTTCTAGAAAGTTTTGTAGCCATCAAGCAGAGGCTCACATTTGTTGTGCTTGCCAGCCAACGAAAGCGATTGACGTATCTCTGACAGCGAAGAGAATATGGAATTATGGACCTTTAATTAGGTGTGATCTCCAGACTTCTCCGTCATATTCCCTCCGTACTTAAAAATAAAGCTGTTTTAGACAAGACTTGAGTCAAATATTTAGAATATAAATTATAAATAACTTTTAGGTCGTTGAGTTTGAAAATGTGAAAACCATATCAATAGATTTGTGACAAATATTTTTTATAAAAATATACATATATCACTTTTCGATAAATATTTTTTATAAAAACAAGAAGTCAAAGTTATACTTTGGAGATCGTGTCCCTATCTAAACGACTTTATTTTTTTTTTAGTACGGAGGGAGCACTGCAGATTGCGGGACCAACACACAGATTATTGGCGCGCCAACAGAAAGAAACTTGCATGTATAGCAATGAAATCCATGAAGATTTGCATTTTTTGTTTTGAAAAACGAACCGGGAGATTAGAGCTGATTATATTAAAAACTTGTCTTATATATTAAATTAAACTTTCACTTTACATGTCAATGGCAAATTACCAATGACACCCCTGTCAAATGGAATGCCCAAAAATCTTTGAGGGAGCACCAAATAAAGCTTAATTAACCTTGTGACCAACCGAGTAGTACTTACTCCGTTCTAAATTATAAGATATTTTGACTTTTCTAGATACAATTATCTAGACGTACATAGTGTATATTTAAATGTATAGCAAAAGTATTAGAAAAGCTAAAACGTCTTATAATTTTGAACGAAGAGATTGAGTATTAGTTTTGTGATAGCCTGCTGCCTGACAGTCGGATTAGCAGATATTAGCTCTGACCAAATTATTTGAAAACCGTATACTCATACTGTGTATGACGAACAAATTAATAAAGTAGACAAGAAGATTGTTAGAACTTCAAAAAAAATTGGAAGACACATAACACTCCTATACACATGTGTACTCACATATCTCATTTCTATTAACATGCGCGCACACACTATACATGTATATATGAACACTTGCAAGAGATGAGGAGTCTACAAATTTTAAGATTCACGAAGTCAGACGGTTATAAAAAATCTAAGGCTTAAACACGGAACAATGAGCAGAACGATATTTCCTGTCGGCAATGGCAAATTGACAACCCAAGAGGACTCTGAGCTTATATACCAACATAGTACATCAATCATACATGCATGCTGATCATTTTGGGTATTTATGCGTGTGTCTTCAATCCGTTCCCTTTTTTCTCCTTGACATTTTCCTTTTAAAAAATGACCATCCATCCACCGAATTAAAGTATCATTTGGTTATGACAAGGATAAGCTAGGTAGCTAGCACACTGATCGACAAGCTGCCCCACCAGCATGCATCATTTTCCAGCTAGCCATCCTATATGATAAGTCAGATTAGATACATGAATGACCCAAATGGTGACACTTGTTTGGCTGCTACGTTGTGCTTTCCGTGGGCACACTTTTGCATTGGATGACGTACGTATACTCATTTTCATGGTCATGGCCTTCAATTTCTTCTCCATGCATTGCACAGTGTATAGTAGTGCGAGCGATTATGGCGACGATGACCATGGCTCGAGGGCACTATGAATTATATATATCTTCTGATTATGATATATAAGAGAATATTTAGTCACTGAAGGGGAGGGAGGAAGAAACTAGCAAGGGCAAAATGGACAAATCGCAAGTCTTTTCTCTCCTCTAGAACCGGAAATGAATATTTTATTAGACATAGCGTGCACCAGCAAATTTGACAAGAATTAAAGTGTCCACCAATAAATCACACTTACTCCCTCTGACCTATAATAAATAAGTTTCTGAAAAACACTGTCAAAAGACACAAGTATCCTCGTCTCATTTCCTTTCTCCAAGCATATCTCTTGGATTTGGTAGTTATGGTTTCCATGCACCCATGATTTTGGCTGTTCGCTTGAGCTACTTTTTAGCCATGGAACAGTGTTTTCCTCTCACAACATTTCAGCGTAAGCATCAACATAAGCCTTGTTTGTGTAGAATATTATTTATTTGGAACAAATTTTAAAACTTAGAAAGTTGTTTATTTGGGACAGAGGGAGTATTTGCATGTCATGTAGTAAAGAGAGATCATTTTCAATGTCTTGTGGCCAATTTTGCCTAATTCATACAACAATTATTGATTCTATACAAGGCTAGCTAGTACAACAAATATATGGCACAATATCTGGAGCAGGAATCTTTTTTTTTTGTCCTTGACATTTCCCTTTAAAACCCAACAAATAAAATGCGTCATTTGGTCATGACATGACATGATAAGGTTAGATAGGAGTGTGTACCGTGTACCAACATATAATCTTTTCCAGCCATCCTTTGAGTCAGATTAGATACACGAATGACCCAAACGGTGACACTTGTTTGGCTCCTAGGTTCCATCTACTTTCTTTGACATACTTTTGAATCTGATATTCAGATGGTATGCTCCTTCATCAACCCGACCAGAGTTGCGAAGGCTTGACATCTGTCTTCCTTTTTTTTTTGACAAGACTCTCTTCCTTTTCTTTTTTCTTTCTAAAAGAAAAGCTGGTCTTCTTCACCTCATCACGCACAACACACTCTAATGCGAGCGATGATGGAGGCGATGAGAGTGGCTCGAGAGTGGGATTGTGGCAATATTAGTATTTTCTTGTGGTACCTTCGTGGGGTTGTGCTTATAAAGACAACCTAGTTATGCGTAATTGGTAGAGTAGCAAAAGTGTAGCTTTTGTTATATATAAGGATGTGGCGATTAAGATCTTGTTTGGGTGGACACTCAGCGGCCCCGGCTCCTCTAACTCCTGCACGGTTTATGGTATTGTTCATTGAAACATTTTTTTTCCTCTCTCTTCATTATTAAATGGACCGGAAGTCGGAAGAAGCTAGTATTTTTTTCTTGCTTCTCCAGTTCAAGCTCCTCGACTACGCCAGAACCAAAAGAAACCCGGCCAAACAGGCCCTAATCATCACTTTGTTCTTTGAATGCGGTTTTGCTTGCTCTGTTTGGTCTATCATAGAGGTGGTCTAAGGAATTTCTAAGCCTTTTGTATGTCTCGTATGTGGTATAGGTGAAAGGAGTTGAAGCCATTAGGACTGCTATGTAGAACAATAATGTCTTTGAAATAAAAATAATTCTTTGCGGATTATATTTGCAATATCCATTGGTTTTGTATCTAGACTATCCTCCACAAACCCTCTATCTAAGATTAGGTTGTGGTGGCATCGCACCCGTTGATACAGGTGGCCAAGGCCTTTTTACCCAAGCACACATGGATGACGTCTACTCTACATGTTGATACTTTCTCTATGTCAAAATAAGTGTACATCTCACTTATCGAGAAGTCAAAATTTTTAAATTTGACTAAATATACACATAAAAGTAATAATATCTATGGTACGTAATAAGCATCATTCAATTGATCATAAAATATACTTTTATAATAAACTTATTTAGAATTACAGATATTAATATTATTTTCTATATAACTAGTTAAACTTTGGGACCATGATGTGTGTTTATTTTAGGCCGGAGGGAGTAATTATTAGTGTTTTTTGTATTTTTTTATGAAATTTATTTTGCTGGATGGGTTTTATTTCAAGTAACAATCTCAAAATGCAATAAAAATTTTCATTGTCCAAGAAATGGTAGTATTAGTGTATGATTGGAAGTGACAGTCTCTGAGCAATTTTAGCCTTGTGATGCAGTCGCGCCCCGGTTCATGCATGTGATGGGGCCAAAGAAAAGATTATTGTGCTGCATCACGGAGTTACCGAGGTTCAGGGTCTGTTTTGATGAGTTAGAGCGCGTTATTTGTTGGACTAATAATTAGCTCAAATTAGCAAAGGATGGCTAACAACTAATTGAAAACTTGTCTAAAAAGCTAGTTAGTGATTAGCCCTTTAAACAGACCCTTATTTTCTTAGCTGCTAATGATGGATAACGACCGATAATGACGTTTTAACCAAGCCCTTGGACACATCATCTTCATTACATTGCTGTCAGTGAATGTGAATGCGAATGCGAACGTGATCACGACCGACACTGTTAGATCGTAGTGGGCAGAGGTAATTGGGCCGTCACTCGGCCCAGACAATCAGCTTTGTCAAGCCCAATCTCACCCACACTCTTTTTGGAATGAAATGACCCCAGCGGACCTGGACGCCGGCGTGCTCGTCGCCGCCTGCCTCGGCGTCGGCGACACAGCCATTGCCGGCGCCTCCCGTCCCGGCACTGCCCCGGGCGGCGGCCGCCAGCTTCATCATAGGATGCACGTTGGCTGCACACGCGGACGGATGTGCTCGCCACTGACACCCGCAGATTGAATCGGCATAGGTGATGTCCATTCAGAAACCAAACCACCACCGGAGACCCAACTTTCTCCGATGCTCAAGAATCACCCCTGAAAACGGTTCAATCAGCACAGCGTAATCCAGTGATGTTCACAGTTTAATCGAAGGTCATCAAATTACATTTCCAAAGATTATCAGTTTATCGTATTTGTGCAGTAAAATCAACATCTTTAGGTTTAGAGAACCAAAAGGATCACAACCAGAGTTATCTATTGTAGCACAGTGAATATATATACTGTAGCAAATACACACCACGATTCATATGCACACAACCATGTTTATTGAGAATCTTTGTAGAATTTCCTTCCATTGAGATTTGAGAATACAGAAGCTGCAAAATGGTACATCCACAAAAGCAAAAGCAGGCCAAAATCCCAAACTCATCGGCAGCCATTCAGATCATGATCACAGCACAGGCTAACAGCTGCCTTGTACAGTTGTTTACCATCATGCATCAAGAGGTCACACGATTATTCTTCCCTACTATGGCAGGATGCCAAACAAGAGAAAACTTGCCAAGAATTCAATACAGATTGATTGAATCCTCAGATGCCATATCAACCATCCAACCACTCTTCGTTCAGCCTTTCATTTCTAGGGTTAATCCTGAACCCGCCAGTTTCGGCACGGCTCGCAATCAAGGATACATAAGACCACAGTGAAAATTAGAGGGCCTTACAAAGCAGCAGCAGCAACATGCAGATCAAATTTACACATCAAAACGCTGGCCAAAACCCGAGAAACCGAAAACCCGACAAGCGTACACATGCACCCACACCAGTCACCACCCATGGTCGCAATATACAACTGAACCTACTATCCCAGCAGCTTCAACTGAAACACAGCACCATCACCGCACTCTGCAAGCCGGGACAGCAGGGGAGCACTTGGGGTTTGGGATGGCCCTGAAGTGGACGCTGTTCCCGGTTAGCCTGCGACGGCCTCTATAGTCAGGAAGGCCAGAGGACTGACCGGATCCATCGCTTCCACTGCTGCCCTGCAATGGCTCGAGGGTTTCGACGATGTCACTCGTAAGCGGCCTGGCCTTGGGGTTGTGGCTCAAGCAGTAGAATGCAAGGCTGCAGGCCTTGTGAGCAGCTCTGACCGAATACTGTCCCTCCAGTTTTGGGTCAATGATCTGGAGAAGCCTCCTCTTGTCATTGAGCTTGGGGAGGGCCCAGTCAACCAGGCTCTGCTCCCTGCTGGGCCGAGATTTGTCAATTGACTTGCGCCCTGTCAAGAGCTCCAGAAGGACGACGCCAAAGCTGTAGACATCACTTCTAGCAGTCAAGTGACCTGCACATTAGGTATAATTAGGTGTATGCGTGGTATATGATCATGCATTAAGAATAATACTTTTTTCCTAGCTATAAACTTTGCTACAAAGTTATACTCAAATACTGAAAGACACAAGAAATGGCAAAATATGTGATCTCTTTTTTCTCAAACACGCAGGAGGGCTGCGTATCATTGTATTAAATGAAGGAGAAAAGAGCCATACATAGACCCGAACACACACACACACTCGCTAGCTAAAAATATGTGATCTCAGCTCATGGAGTAGAAACAATAGTTCAGTGTCTGGAATTTGGCATGAAGTTCATATCCAACTGTTAGATTAGATGATATCTTCTAAGAAATGCAAATACCAAGCATATACAAACAATGAGGAAAGTACCAGTCATCACATATTCAGGGGCAGCATAACCATAGGTTCCCATCACCCGTGTTGATACATGCGTCTGATCACCTTCAGGGCCAGCTTTTGCCAGGCCAAAATCAGACAGTTTAGCAGTATAATCCTGTGGCAATGGAAACAAAAAGATAAATATGCCAAACATACATGTATTCCCATTGGATGGTATCAATAGAACTGAAAAAGGAGAAGAAAGCATGAGGAAGCAATTAACACTCAACAGAGTCCAGCAGAATATTTGATGTCTTGAAATCTCTGTAGATGACAGGCCTTTGAGCATTGTGGAGGCAAGCAAGCCCTTTAGCAGCTCCCAGTGCGATTGACATCCTAGTACCCCAGGGTAATGGTGTCGCTGTCTCTGAGAAGATGAAAAACAGGATGTCTGGTCAACAAAATTTCCCTCATCTGAAGTAAAAGTTCATTGTGAATGAATCGAGGAAAATAGTGCACTGGCATTACATATCATACATGCTAGCAGTGGAAAGCATTCAGTTATTTGTCCTTTGCTTCAAATGTAGTTAGTAACAGCTATAGTAGTCCGTAATTAAAGGAGCATGACAAAAATCAACAGATGTAGAAGAAATTAACACGAAGGTGTGGTAGCGCGTAATTGTAAAATAGATCATTTCTTATATGTTCCAAGTCATAAGGTCAGTTGGGATTTGGGAAGTTGCCTAAAATGTCCATACAGAATACAGAAAATGCCAGCTAGGTACCACTTGTAATCAAGCAAAATCAACAGTTTACCAAGCAAGCAATCATCCAGGATTTGAGCCACCAGCAAGTTCAACAGTTGGATGCTTAGTGGTTATTTTGGAAATAACATGTAAAAAACTTCCAAAGATGATGAATGAATCAGTTGTTGGCAGGTAAATAAAATATGCCCAACTCATACCAACAATAGTTATGAAAATGAAAAGTGTAACTCTATCATCCAATTTTTTATCAGCTCAAGGTGTTGTAGTCAGTGGACAGCATTCAAGAAAACAGAAGACAGTATCTAAAAGGTGACATCATTGAACTCGGTTATGATGCCATTCACAATCTGACAAACAGTAGAAGGATTACTTCGGAATAAGTGGTTTTCTAGACTTCCTCGAAACATGAACTCATAGACAAGCAGCCGATGGTCATCTTCGCAGCAATATCCGATCAACTTCACCAAATTTGGATGCCTCAACTGCCCCAGGCAGTTAACTTCGGTCTGACATAAATACAAAAGATGGATAAACCATTTTTATATTGTTTTGAGCAAAACACAATACTGGAATAATAATTTTGTAGTCTAGTAATAAGCATGATAACTATCAAACCATGTGCAAAAATAACACAATAGCATTTTACTGGCAGTTACATACAATTGTTTAACCTTTCGAATAAATTCACATTTGTTCTTGGATTTCCATCTTCATTCCTCAAGTTTCTTTGTTCGGTAATGTTGCTTAATCCGGTCATGCAAGTAAGCTACTATCTTTTAAAAATTTCAAGCATGACAGACAAAATATATTATTTGTTAACAACAGCATGACTCAAGGACTGCACATCTCTGTAAATGAGCATGAAATCACTATGGATAACCTTATCAGCTTATCAATTTTCCATGCCATGGTCAACAAAACACTGCGACAAAGTAGTGAGAACTAATCCAGACAGCCATGGAAACAAAAACATGATTGCCAATGAAACATTATTGCATAGAATCCTCCATATGTGTATTTTATTTGTCAGCATGCTTGTTAGCGACATCCTGATGATATCTACATGTATCCATGTCAATGTGCCATGCATAGTGTGCAAGTACACCATATTAGTAGACAATTTTTCACATTTCCATGCATATAATGAAAAGGTAATGAGCATGAAAATTACTGAACAACTTGGCTACTCACAAGCCATTCTCTGTGCCCTTGATGTCCGTCTTTGTTGAGCACCTTGACTGCAACAGGCAGTGACTTCAGACCAACCCTGACATTTTCATCTATGTAACCCTTGTAAACGGTCCCAAATCCTCCTTCACCAAGAACATAATCAGCACGGAAGCTCTTTGTGATTGTCTCTAGCTCAAACAATGTGAAGGCAATCACATCGTTGTTGATATGGAAATGTTCTTGGCATCTTCAACTTTCCTAGGTGTGGAAGGATCACTTATATCTGATGAGGTGCGGGTGTGCTTCCTATCTGCGATGGCGTTCTTGACAGGATGTTGTAACAAGTGGAGCTGTTGAACTGAAAGCATGAGAAGTAAATATAAGTCCTCAACCCAAAAAAAAAAGAACGAAGTATCTCGCGTATTAACTATTGCCCCAAAAAAAATGAAGTATAACTATTGCCCAGTAGGTAACTACAGACTTGATGAAGTAACAACTAACAAGGATATCTCGCGTATTAAGATCAAAGTACCAAAAGCTAACCACAGTGAAAAATCTCTTAGTCAGTTTTATGTGGGTAGTATAAGTCACGGGTATGTAACTATATATACTAAGAAAAATTTTATATCTCAAGGATTCGTGTAGAATTACAAGCATTTACTCATGCTGAGATACAATGTTCTATTTGGAAATTATTATAGAAGTAAACTAAGGCCCCGTTTAGTTCAAAAACCAAAAATTTTCAAGAATCCCCGTCACATCAAATCTTGCGGCACATGCATGGAGCATAGAGTACTGAATGTAGACGAAAAAAAAACTAATTACGCAGTTAGCCGAGAAATCGTGAGACGAATCTTTTAAGCCTAAATAGTTTATTGGACAATTTTTGCCAAATAAAAACGAAAATGCTACCGTATCCAAAAGACAAAAATTTTCGAAACTAAACGGGGCCTAAGAACAAGTGGAAATGAATGAGTTGCCAACTGCTAGCATCCATTAAATGACCTTTCCCCCTAAAATAATACTTCTGAGTAGAAAGCAGGAAATAAATAAAGAAGAGATACACATGCACAAATTGATTACAGCAAGGGTAAAGACGTCAGATTTTTTTTTCAAAAAAAAAGAAAGGTAAAGAGGTCAGGGGACCAGATCTACTGCACAGTTGCATGTAAATTACAAAACCTCAAATTGCTTTTAAAAAAAACGCAAGTAGCACTAGAACAGACTATGTTTATTCAAACTTGGAGGATTGTGATTTTTTTTATCCGTGCGAAATCGAAAGTCAATAGTGGGGAGGAGAGGAGGGCACAGAAATTGAAGCACGCTGGGGAAAAGTGCCATCAGATTTTTCTCAATGTACACAATCAAGTAGGCTTCGGGATACAAAAAACAAGAAGATAAGGAAGCGCAAGGTGACATGGCAACTTCACAAGAAGATGCAACATAGAAGAGATCATAGATCAACAACCTGGTGGAACTGGGACAAGACGAATCGAACAAGCGTTGAACTAAAGAAGATAAAACATGAGCAAATGAGGATAAATAGAACTGGAGTCCTAGGACCGGATTCATCTCAAGGGAGGGATGAACCCAAAAAAATCATCAAAATCCCCCGACTCAAGTATTAAAATCAATCATTTGGAGTGAAATTTGGCATGTGACTTCAATCAAAACCATCCTTCCGTAACAACATGGGACAAAGCCTCCCCCAGAAAAATCCAGTTTCGCAACCAAATCGCCACGACACTGGTTAATCGCAAAAAACACAATAGAAAGAGGGAGTATTTATGGCAATCCGCCGCGAGCCCAAGAACCAAGAGCCCAGGGGACCTGAGGAACAATCCACCAAGATGAAATTTTGATGGAACTCGAAGCGCCGTAGCTGAGATCCAAACAAGCACCGACAAGAGGGGGGGCCGCGAGAAATCCACCACTACGGGCAAACTCGAAAGGACGGGTACCTTGCGCGTGCGCAGCGACGACGGCATTCTCCTCCCGCGTGCCGCAGTTGCCCATCTCCTCCTCCCTGTGGCTCGGCTGCTGGGGTTCTTCCTCTACTTGTGCCGGGGGTAGCCCAGCCTCTCATTCTTTCTTGGTAGGTCGCTTCATGCCATCCGCCTCTTCCGTCATTCGACTCCGATACGTGACGAGATAGACGACGGCTAGAGCTGCGGCGGGCTGGGCGTTTCCTTCTTTGGTGGACAGGGGAGCAAGGAGCAACGGAGCAAGAGCAAAGCTGTGTGCTTCCCCCCTTCCCTTCCTGTGGGATGCGCGGAACAGAACAGTGAACAGGGCAGGGTAGCCGGCAGGAGCACCAGCAACGCCTCAACCGTTAGGGACTGAGGGAGCAGCAGCCGAGCTTGTGACTGCGGATGAGTTGTGAGTGTAGTGCGTGCGTGTGACAGTGAGTGAGAGAGAGGGTCGGAGTGTGCTTCAATGGTGGAGAAAAGGGACGGTGGGGGAGAGGGGTGGTGGATCCCTTAAAAAGTGCAGTGCTCCCATTTCACTCCACGGCAGCTGCCTTCAAGAAGAAGACACTGTCAGATATTTGGATATGAAATTCAGCAAACTATTTTCTTTCTATCTATTAAATTTTTATAATTTTTCTGTCGACAGTTCATCGAATGGTTATTAGGACGGGTTTGACCTTTATATTTTCCTGTTTACTGGATCGGAAATTTAGATGCTATCCAGCTGGACACTGCAAGCACAAGCACGGCCGAAAATGAGAAAAGGATAAAGGAAAAAGTCTACTTGATCCCACCTTTTATATTTAGTCTATCTCACCCTCAACTATGAAATCATCTATTTTATTCTCTTAACTTTCCAAAACCGTCTATTCTACCTCGGGCGGTTTTTAACCGCGGGTTTGCTACAGGGCAGCGGGGTTGCTACAGTAACGGTGGTTGCTACAGTTCCGGTGGTTTGGATTTCCTTTTTATTTATTTATTTTTGGTGAATTTTTGAAAAATCATAGTAAATCATAGAAAAATTCTAAAATAAAAAATCTAATTTTATTGGACTCCACATGAGTAGATATACACAGTAAATATATAATACGGTATGCTTTAGTACAAAATTTTTACTGTAGCCTTAAATTAATTAGAAAATCTAATTTTGTCTATAATTAATTGTAATAATTCATAGCTGCAGCCTCTATGGTCCAATTGTGGTGAAATTTTTATGGTACGCTAATTATTGTATGCTTGAACTATAGTAAAAATTTCGTACTTATTGGACTATGTATAACTTAGTTATAGATAAATTCTAATTAATTACAGAAAAAATTGGATTTTTCAATTAATCTAAAGCTACAAAAAAATTGTACTAAAGCATACCGTATTATATACTCACTGTGTAGATCTACTCATGTGGAGTCCAATAAAATTAGATTTTTTATTTTATGATTTTTCTATGATTTACTATGATTTTTCAAAAATTCACCGAAAATAAATAAAAAAGGAAATTCAAAGACACCACCACTGTAGCAAACCCACCGTTACTATAGCACCGACGTTACTGTACCAAAAACCGCTGTAAAAAACCGCCCGGGGGGGTAAAATAGACGGTTTTGGAAAGTTCAGGGGGTAAAACAGACGGTTTCATAGTTTGGGGGTGAAGTAGACTAAGTATGAAAGGTGGGGGTTAAATAGACTTTTTCCAAAGGATAAATGTTGGCATTGATCAACTAAATCTTTTTTTATCAACTAAATCTCTTGATATCCAGGAACACATTAATGGTTAGGAAAATTGATTCAGTGAATCATTTTACTGTAACCCTAGTTTAGCATAGTGTTTTTTTTTTGCTTCCACTTGAAGATGCTTGATATACTCCTGTTGATGTCGATATGTTTGCTTCACTTTTATCGTCCCTCTTTCTTTGTGCTCGCCTATACTTTTTATGTATGTATTGCATAAATTTCAAATCGATAAGTGTCGGTGTTTTGAGTTGCCACCAACAAATAAATTTTTAATATTGCGCGTCGGACTCGGATGGTGTGCTAAGAGGACACGAGGTTTATACTGGTTATGGCAGAATGTCCATACCTCCAGTTCGTTGCTGCTGCTCGTGTTACTAGCACTGAAAGTTCATAGTAGGGGTTACAAATGGGCGAGAGAGGGATAGGTCCCAAATCTCTGATGAAAAGGATGAACGGGTGCCGAGAGCTCGGTTGTATGTTCGGGGTTCGATGAATTGATCGGATTCGAGTCTCCTGTGGTGTGTTACGATGAGTTCCGATCGTTGGTCCGATGCCCCCTAATGGGACGCCCTGCTTTTTCTTTTATAGGCCAAGGGAAAGCAAGGGTTACAGCGGGGTAAAAAAGAAGAGTCAGAAGGAGAAGTCCTCTAGGATCGCCGGATCCTTTTCTTCTATGCGGGTCCCGCCGACCCTGTAGACGTCAACAGGGACAGCTTCACGTTGTGACCCTGTCCGTCACTGGCGCCATGCGCAGGCGTCGTCTCTCGGTCATGGCGCTCCACTCTGTCCTGGCGGACGTCGTGGTGAACTGACGCGCCTGTCAGTGTTCGTACGAGGGTTAGGTAGAACAGCACCGATTCGCCCGACGATGTTCCTGATGTGAATCCTCAGGTATGGCCTGTCACGACCACGGGTTATATCGGGGCGTGCCGGTCACCTCCTTGGTGTCAGAGCTTTGACCCAGGCCCATACGTTTGGACCTGAAGTGGTCGGCAGCGGTATGGGTCTCCGTCGGGCGAGACGGAGTCCCCGACCTCGGGGTCGGGCGAGGCGGAGTTCCTCCCCAGAGGCGGGGCGAGTCGGAGTGCAAACCCAAGGGTCAAGCGAGGCGGAGCCCAAACCCAAGGGTCAGGCGAGGCTGAGCCAGCCCTTAGAGGTCGGGCGAGGTGGAGCCCGTGGCCTCGGTGTCAAGCGAGGCGGAGCCGGCCCGCAGGGTTAGGCGAGGCAGAGCCCACGGCCTCGGTGTCGGGCGAGGCGGAGCCTGCACTCAGGGGTTGGGCGAGACGGAGCCCGCGGCCTCGGTGTTGGGCGAGACGGAGCCAACCCTCAGGGGTTGGGCGAGGCGGAGTTTGCGCACCTAGAGGTCGGGTGGAGCTGTAGTCGCGCTCTTGACTGCTCGGATGAATCAATGTTGATGGTTATTAGCTCCTCCTCTTTGGGTACCCTGGTATTGGTCCCTGACAGTAGCCCCCGAGCCTGCAGAGGAGTAGAATACTCATTTGGAGGTTTTTCCGAATGGGAGGACTCTGAGGGTCTTGGCCTCCTTTTGTTGCCCACGGCATGTCCCGGGGACGGTGATTCCCTCTTGTCGAGGCCGGACCCTTCACGGGTATTTCCATGAGATTTTGGTGGGTTGTTAGCTGGCTAGTTCGAGTGGGGTCCTGGCATCCCATTCGCGGGGATCCGGCTAGGGTCAGCTTGGTGATCGACTTTAGATTCTCAGCGGTCAATCCATATAGTTCTCAGGTCTGTTTGACCGGTCTCGAGGGCTCTCTGCCTTTCTTTAGGGAAAAACCATGGACCGTACCTCGCCAAGACTCGATCGTGGGCCGGGATGCCCGTGGCGGTCGTGCACCTGGGTACTGGCCGCTTGCGGGCCCATCCCTTACCCTAAGGGTTCCCGGAGTGGTTGTCGATCCCGTCGATGGGCCAACCTTCGAACTCCTGGGCCCAGGCGGGCTATAGAGGTGTTTTTCGACCCGTATTCCTCTTACTTGTGACGAGTTATGGCCCGTCCGAAGAGGCGAAACGTCCAACGAGTTTTCCAAGGGAACGGACAGAGATTGCGTGTGCACTTCCCACAGCGAGATGTTGTGGCTGATCATGGCAGGCGCGGAGATCCAGGCGGGCGGTTGGTTTCCTCGCATCCGTTGCCCCTATAAAACCAAAGGGTTCACCCCCTGGGTTTCATACCTTGCATCCTTGCCTCCGCAGCCACGACCGCTATCACCAATCACCTAGAGTTCCATGTATCCGCATCCCCGCCGCCGTTGAGCCCGCATCCAACCGTCCCCATCTCCAATGGATCTGTGGTGTCGTTCTGACATCACCTTCCAGCACATGGAGGGCCTCATCCGTCGTGGTCTTCTTCACGCGCGGACCTCGGCCACGGAGTGGCTGCTGCCCGGTGAGGAGGATCTGTCGTCACCGCCCGATGGCAACGTGGTATCGTTCGCCCACTTTCATGAGCGTGGGTTCGCGACCCCCGCCCACAGATTTCTTCGGGGGCTACTGCATTACTACAAGATCGAGCTGCAGCACCTCAATCCCAACGGGATCCAGCACATGGCGGCATTTGTCACCTTGTGTGAGAGGTTCCTAGGGATCAGCCCCCACTTCGATCTGTGGAGGTACTTCTTTGCCGTCACCCTCCAGAAGAAGAGGGAGAAGAGCGGCAGGCAATAACTGCATATGTCGATGGGGTGCACCGACATCCAACTCCAGATCAACCGGGGCGGCGAGGACCCACCGATGTGGCTATCAACGTCAAACAAGGGGTGGCATTCACAATGGTTCTACCTCAAGAACAATGCCATCGCCCCTCTACCGGAGTTCACCGGCCGCCTGATCGAAGAGGCTCTAGAGTCATGGAGGAAGTGGGGCATTCTGAAGAAGGACAAGAAGAAGATCTGGGACCACATCACCGCCATCTAGATCCTAAAGGAGAGCGGCCTGAAGGGGTCAGGCATCATCGAGGCCTATCATGTAAGGAGGGTGGCGCCGTTGATGATGCGCGCGCTCCCGCTATAGGCGATGACGCCCGAGGCGTCACTCGATGGAACGGCACTTGTCGAGGGAGTGCTCCCCCACTCCGAGGTCACGCAACACATCAAGGAGGCGATGGAGCCTTCGTGGGATGACGCGGGCACCCCCCTCGATTTCATCTTCCCGGTGCCGGGACATCCTCCGATGCGACCGGAGCTAGACCATGTCGTCTTCGTAAGTTTCCTCTCCTTATACCTTGTCTTCAATTGATTTCCCGACCTCTTGATACTAACTTTGAGAAGGACGGGACCAGTTGAGGGACCTCATCTT